GCGCTAGGGTGATCCGGTAAGGAATGGTGTAGATTGGTGCGGATGGTAGTGCTGCAGAATTACGCAGTTGCGTATGGTGACATTTAGTAGTGCTGCAACAGTAAATATTGTTGCCAATGCGTTGCTGCAACAGTACCGCAGGAGGGAAAGACTGCTACAGGGGCTTTCAATCTGAGTGTCACAGTCGACGTGGTTCACTCCATCGCGAGCCGCCCCGCTCGGGTCTTACACGTTGTGCAATACCTACCGCGCGCTAAGGCTTTCGCGTTATGATGCGCTATTGTACCACGTGAGAGACCTAAGCGAGGCGGCTCGCGAGGGAGTGAACCACGTCGACTGTGACACTCAGATTGAAAGCCCCTGTAGGCATATTGTGTACCGCGGATGGTAATGCAGCAACAGTACTACAGGCGCTTTCAATCTTAGTGTCACGCACGACGTGGTTCACTCCTCGAGAGCCGCATCGCTTGGGTCTCCCACGTGGTACACTACCGCACTCGACACCGCGAAGGCCTTTGCGGATGCGGCATTGTACCACGTGAGAGACCCAAGCGAGGCGGCTTCGAGGGGGTGAACCACGTCGACTGTGACACTCAGATTGAAAGCCCCTGGATAGCTGTGCTGGAGAGGGACTAGCATGCAGTTGCACGGATTGGTGTAGATATTAGTGCTGCAACAACACTGGCTGGGCTAGAACCGGTGTGGAAGTACAATGGTTATTTCTACCATATGCCTTCCAGCCTGGCGTGGATTGGTGTGGATTGGTGCGGCGCCGCCGAGAAAAGCAACGCGGCGCAAACCCGAAGCGATGCAGCGCCTCACCAATTCATACCAATCCACACCAATCCACGTCATGTTGAGGCTGGAAGGCATACGGTGGAAAAAACCAGTACGTATTGAAAACAACTGTATGGTGTTTATAGTAGTGCTGCAACAGTACATTCTGTTTCGATTTGTATGGAATGGTCCAGATCAGTGTCAATGCTAACACATTAACGTCATACCGAACTACTGCAGTACTGTTGCGGTAATAGTTGCAATAGTTGCAACTTTTACCGCAACAGTATCCGCAGTTGTAGCGTTAGAATGGGATTGGTATGGAATGGAATGGTTTGGTGTTGGTGTTAATGTTAGTGTTGCAACAGTACTGCAGTCATGAGGCAGGTACCTTATAGGGTTAGTAAAAAAACGTGGTGTTGATAGCAGTGCTGCAACAGCACATATTGCTGCGATTTGTATGAAACGGAGTGGTTTGGTGTTGATGTTAAAGCTGCAACAGTACTGTAGTTCTGCTAGGGTGGGATTTGTTTGGAATTATATGGATTGCTGTTGATGTCAATACTGCAACAGCACTGTAGTTGTGGCGCTATGAGGGTAGGTATGGAATGGAATCTTTTGATGTTGATGCCAGTGTTGCAGCAGCACTGCAGCTGGGGGGGGGGTGAGATTGCTGAATGGTGTGGATTGATGCAGATGGCAGTGCTGCAACAGTACTGCGGTTGTACTGTGGTAAGACTGGTATGGTATGGTAAGGGTGATAGCTGCAACAGTATCGCTGCGGCTATTATGGAATGGTGCAGGTAATCTTGGTGTGGAATGGTAGTTCTGCAGTTGCAGATGGCCATTTGCTATGTTTTGAGCGAGATAAAGGCCAAGAAAGAAACGATAAAACCACAGTTAACTTGCTTGTATCTGAATGCAAGATTCTAGAGAAAGATATGGTCATCTGAGAAAATTTGATCAATCCCCCATTCCGAAAATCAGTAACGCCCACTCTTGACACGCTCCCACTTTCCCAGCAGCTTTCCGAACGCCAATCAAAATGTCTTTAAATGATCTTTTGTCACTGAAAAAGCCCTGGACTGTCGACGTTAAATCGCGTTATCAAGGGTAACCTTTTCCAAGACCCGCTATCAACCATTCCTGGTCTGCAGATTGAGAATAACCAGGCCTCCAGTTCTTTACTTTCTGCAGACGCCTGCAACCAGTTTTTTCCTTCCATTTGCAGCTCAATTTGCCCCACAGCACGTAACTTCATTCTAGAAACGAAGAAAAAAAAACAATGCAGTGCGCACTGAGAGCTGCTTATAGATTAGACTATTTTGGGAGATTTCAAATGATGCAGGCGGGGATGATGAACGATGATGTGTCCATTGTTATGAGCATGTTATATAAAGTAAGTGAGCCCTGAGTCATACATGAAACCAGCTCAAAGGCCGCTTTCTGCTCCGCTCGATACGAACTCAAAACTTGGAGACGTATATGCAACTGTCACATCTAACTGCACAACAACGCTAAATAGCCTATTAGAAGTTAAAGTTTGCAAGCACTTTGCAACCTTTAAATAAAGAAATGTAGTGCCTAACATTTTGCAAACCCAGCGCTTTTTCTGGACGCTTTGATGTAAACACGAGATTGAAAACCTCAGCGATAAAAGGAAAATACGGCATCAGAGAACAGGCAAAAGCTTAATCAGCATCAAGGATTATCGCTTCAAATGTTGTCAGCTTTGCAGCGGAATGCTTTTGCAAGAGATGGATAGGAGTAGCAATATTGGAGGTAGAGGGAGGGAAGGGTCTGAGATGGGAGAATAGGAAACAGGAGCGGAGAAAGCAAAAGAGGTGGATGAGAGTAGCTCAAGCAACTGTTCTACTAATAGTAGTATAAGGACAACGCTTGGTTGACGTCAATAATATGCATGAACAAGAGCTCTTTTTTTTGGGGAGGGGGGGGGGGAGGGGGAGGGAGGGAAGAGGTGGAGGAGAGAGGCAGTCAAAATTTGAGGAGCCCGACTAGGGCATGCCATCTAAAATTTTTGAGTTGTTCTAACTTTAAGAGTATCTAGAACCCACAACTTCCACGTCGCCACGTTTTTCATAGAGGTAATAGAGTTCCAAGAATTCACATTCTAAAGTCGCTGAATTTAGTCAAAGGTATTTTCGTCTCTTAAAGTAAAACACAGAATTATCGGAGGGAGGGGGGGGGGGGGAAGAATTAGAGGATAGCAATATTATCCCAAAAGCAATGCACACAACGGTGTTCGTGACTTTACAATGCTGCTTTATTAACATTTTCCTAGTGAGCGTAACTAATAGTATCGGAAAATACATGGGAAGTGGAACAGAGATGTATTTGGCTTGTTACTCTAGGTTTAACATCCCACGGTGTGGCATTCTCTGTAGCTTTCGAAAGCTAAATTTCAAATCTAGAGTGCATAGCAGCGACTGCGCCATTAACAGACTAGACGTCCTGTTCCAAAAAGTCTTTTCCAAGCACGCAATCTCCGCAAATACACTATGACATCAATGCGTATCGTAGTTGTTCCACAATCAGTTGATAAGGGTAATGCATGAAAAAGTTCAGATAATTTTATTCTTGGCAATCGATCGGCCACTAAAAATGTCATAAGTACAAGCAGGTGAAAGCGACACATAGACGTAATTTCGATGCATTCGCATTTTGCAGTGAGGGACAGAGGACAGAGGTACGAAAGAGAGGAGGGGGGGGGACTCATTTGTTGCAAATCGGCAGGTATGCAATGGTCAAAACATCACGCGATAGACATGAAGCGCTATGCATTTTGCACTGACTTCTTGCACGATTTCCAATGTTGTAGTTATATTGTAGGATTATTCGCAAAGTCTCATGTGATACCATAACAGCACAGAGTGCACAGTAACGAAATCCAACATAATGGAATTGGACTACGTGGTATGTACTGTGCATATGTCTGCTATGAAGGTTGTGTGTGTGATTACGGTACGCCGTCCAAACACGCACTCGTGCTTTTCAAAAGTTAGCACACACATTTTTGACCTCTGAGTGCAGAGAAAGCTTTTGCATCCTCAATGAAAAAACAGTACCGTAATATCCTTTGCAGCCAATGCAGATTGGTGTAAAGTTGTAGCAAAATAGCAGTAAAAAGTTTCGACCCTAGCAGGAACAATCTCAGAGGCATGCCTAGGCAATTCTAGACCTGAACTTCTTCCACGGATAGGTTTTGAAAGCTTCTAAGCCACTGGCAAAGCCTAAGCTAGTACGAGTCATTGGCGGCAAAGAAACCAAACTTCAAACCCCAGTACAGACCGTAATCTTTGACGGAGGAAAATCGTCCTTGAGTATGGTAGAAAGTACGATCTGAGCTGAAGTTATAGCTAATTTAGGTTGCAATCAAGCTCTCTACGTCCAGCCTAACGAAGTAGCGAGAGTGCAAAGAACGCACCAACCCGCTCGTTCTTTGAATTCTTATCACTTATCGATTTTTGAAAGACCAAATCTAACTTTAACAGATTTTACAACCTTTCATTTTTGGCCAAGTTTACGTTCGACGCTCTTTATATTTTGAAAATATTGCTACTGCCGAAAAAGTGCAACCAGTATCATTGTGAAAGTAGATGCAGCGGTGCTTTTGGTCGTCATATGACATCGAGCAAGTGCTTGCAAAGGTAACAAAACCATTCATAAATTCTCCAAATCAAAAATGCATGGATCCATTGCAAATCGTGAAAATTTGAAAAACTGCTGCAAAGGCAGCAACAGCGATATGATGTATTAATTGAGAAAGTTCGTATTAGAGAGCGGATCCCAGTATAGAGCCAATGTGGGCATCCTACGTATTCGTCTTTTCTTGAAAATAATCATAGAATTAGGTATTCGGGGAAAAAACTGAAGAGCATCTAGAATGACGAAAAGTCAAGTTGTCCATACAGAAATTTAGTAATTCGTAGCTCAACCCGGTGCACGTATCATTTCCGAAAAACTGCAAGGAATGCAAATTTTCGATTGGTGGAAGTGAGTGAAAGCGGAAGAATTCGACGGTGGTCAATAATGATTTTATGGGAGGAGTGGAAGGAGATTTTTGGGCAGATTCATCAATCAAATTCCGTACCAAATCTCAGTTTTCGTTCTACAACATGCCAAATAATTTGTTCGATACCGGTACTAAAATCTATAGCTGACCGAAAACACTGTCACAAGCAATTCAGCTGAAAAAAATTATTTCACATGTCGAAAAGCTTACCTTTGCCTAGAAAACTTGATTGTCTCAGATAATTCCTAAACTGGCTGCGGTTTAGTTTCTCGTTCTGATTGAAGGTAAAGAAATTGTGCTCCATTTTGATTAACTGAAAATAAAGTGTATTACCCAACCGCCCAATAAGGTTAGAGTGACCTACCTGCTTGACTTTGACTTGTATGCTGGCCATCAGTAGAAAGCATTCACCAACGGCCATCGCTGCATCTTTCACATGATGGAAGAGAAATACGTGTCGTGTCCAGTTGTGATATTGAAACAATGCCACTACACTCTGAGCCACCACCTGAAATGATTAGTACACATTTAGAAGAAGTGCGCATTTCCGCGCGGCTTAACCGCGGCACTAACAAAAGAAAGGCGATCAGAACACCGTCAAGCATTCTGCTTTCACTGCTTCACGCCACCGTATCTGTTATAATTATTACCAAGTCCTCTTCGATTTCTGCCATTTTGGAACAAAGCCTTTTTGCATTGTCACTTACCTAGAGTGCTTTTATAAAATGCTGACGAAGAAGATGACGTTTAGATCACTAGCGTCATATAGTAAAGTTACGGTAGCAATATGATAGTCAAATTCAAAGGGTTGGGAGAATCTTGTACCTTACGATTGTTCCACGTGCTACTCACGAACATAACATTCACGTTGTTCTTACAAAGACAGTCCTACTATCAAATTTTTGCAGAACGCAGTTGCTCGAAAAAGTCGCAGACATTTTCAGAATTGTTCTGTTCGGCATGCTAACGCACTTGCAAATATGAATGATTTCAGAATTCTGGGACGAAAATTAGAAACAATATTAATCGATAAAATCGATTTCGATGAGCCACCACGAGGTTTTTCTAGCCCAGCTTGTTTCAAGTATTCATGCTGTTTTAAGAATCAAAATCTTCTCAGTCACAACTGGTTTCCTTATTGTCATTCGCCTACGGTATACCTACCGTGACTCTTGGCTCGATAAAGGAGTGAACTAAAGCTTCACCGAGCGTATACAATCATCCGCCAAAATTTCATGTAGCTTCACACCACTAACTTACAAAATTGGAACTTCGGAATACAAATCAGCGCCGTACTTTCGTGAATGTGCATGTGAAGACGAATTTTTTTTGTATTTCAATCCAAAAACTCATCTTCAACAATCCAAGGTCCATATTTGCTGAAGACAAAGTGATATGAATGTTTGTAAACTTCCTCGTATTCATCATAATTTTCAAAAGACACTGGATTACCCTCCTCTACTTCTCCTCCAACTATTTTGTCATGCCCACAATCAGCGCTCTTCCATTCCCAATTGGTCCTCTTGTTTATAAGTGCTGATGACTAATACCTATGTGGCTTTTCATATCGTCCAAAATGAAAAACACGGCAAATGCTACGTGCTTTGCAGGCGATAAAATGGGGAACAAAGTGAGAAAAACTTTGCAAAGTCGTTCGCAAGCAAGACATTTCACCGAAAAGTGCATGCTTGCAAATCCAGGTATTTCTGTCTCTTTAGGGACTCAAGTCAAGACAAGAATTTTTTAAAGATAACGATGGTACTGTCGAGATTTGTGATATTATGCTCAGTTACAGTAATTTCAAATGACGTGCAAATATGCGTAAACAGGTAGCGCTTTTTTAAGCTGATGCAATTCCCTTAGTCACCTGGGCGACTCCTAAAATGTACATGCCTTAAATAGCAACATCAAAGTCGCATGACGCCTTTGTGTACTTAATCTCGCAAAAATAGCTAATCTAGATAACGCGACGCTTCAAAAAAAAAGCTGTACATGTTCAACTTTTGAACTGATGCATGTTTAAGCAAGTAAAGACTACATGATGTCAATATTGTTTTGCTATCGGAAAAAGAATGCATAGGAGGGAAAGGCATAGGAGGGCAAAATAAGAAGAAAGCGCAGTTTTAAAGTCAGGCGTGAATAGTGGAACATTATGCTTTAGTCGTACTGTTGAGATAGTGGTTTGATAGGAAGCAAGACAAATTGAATATTTTAGAAAACAACGTGCAGAAAGCCTTTCTACAGGGTGTCCCAAAAAGATGTGCACACTGTTTAATCGTTAATAACTCTCTTGCTTTCATGTCTTTTGCCGAGCTTGAGGTACCATTCTGTAGAGCGAGGTTCAACTTAGATTTACAGTATGGAGCAAATTATCAATCGCTCTTCATTACTGTAGGATTACGGTAGAAACTTCGAGAGGGATCTGAAGCATTGAAAGCGGTTTGCTTCGGAAAGAAATACAAACAAGTCAGAAACTCTTGAACTGGGCTAATCGAGGTCGCTGATTCTAATTATGAAATTTGCACTTCAGTACAGCTCTTCTTCCATAAGTTATTCCAGATTTAAGGTAACAATTTTTTGTTCGTCAGGAATGTTAATACGCCATCAAGAAAGCTCGAAAAATTGGTGAAAAGTTACGTAGCGAAATCAGCGCGCCTGAAAACCTTGCTACACAAACTTTCAGATTTTTTTTTGAAATTATTTCACGGTAAGGCCTATTCTACAGTGACGCTGTATGCTGAAAATTCATACAGTAATCCTACAGTAATGAAAAGCGGTTGGAAACTCGCACCATACTGAAGTTTGACCTCGCTCTACAGTATGGTACCTCAAGCTCGGCAAAAGACATGAAAGCAAGAGAGTTATTAACGATCAAACAGTGTGCACATCTTTTTGGGACACTCTGTACTTTACTCCCCGCTAAGGCCGACTATGTTGATTGCACATATGGCACTTGTATGGCTAAGGATGAATTTTTCTGTTAAGGCAACTGCTATTTATGGTTAGATATTCTCATTTACGCACTTTTTTTGCGCTTTCTTGCATATATCACTGAACCCCACCATTTTGGTTCATAACTTTTGTGCCTTGAGAGCGAAAAGGTGAAGAACGCTAAATACACTGTTTTGAATCGAGGCGTACATTCTAGAGTCGTTGGAAAAAGAAAGAAGAAAGAAAATCTGAATATCGATCATCGCGGACAAGTACCCTCTACTTCAATGAGATTGGCTGCTAGAAGGCGGGGCTTCGAGACCTAACTAAGGCTAAAGAATGATTAGAGAGCACGCTTGCGAGAGAAACACAGATTGCGTCGCTGATGCAAGCGGTCGCCCAGCCACCAATCCTTTGAATTAAAGGGTAACTAATGCCTTTTTTCATGAAGAAAACAATCAGATTCGCTTGTTTTGCCCGCGAGAGGACAAAAAATTAACAGTTTGGAAGGGCCACGCGAGGAGGGTAAAAAGGTGGCTCAATCTTGTGAGCAACCTCTACTTTCTGTACGCTAATGTTTGCTTTTTTTTCTTGTAAAGGTATATGTGTAAAGTGCAGAAAGCCTGTGATCATCGCAGGTTCCATCTTCCCTTTTCATGAATCTTTTCGCGAGTTTCGATTTTCACACAGTTTTGAAAGATATCTAAGCAATGCGGAAGTAAGCTCTTAGTTGTTCTGCCAGCTCTGCATGAGTTTCCGAGTAGAACACTGCATGACTTGTTGCAATGAGATAAGCGTACATAGCGAAAGTGCAAAACAGTCAGCGCTGTTGTTTTCGATTACTACAACAAAAAGACTGAGGAATTTGCAGAATTTAGGAAAACAACTGATATGCTGACTTAGATACGGAAGTGTTGATTTCTAGAAATTTTTGCACTATTCTGACTCAACAGACAGTCAGCAGATAACAGAGAGATATGCTACCCGTTCCATTACAAGTCATTCTTACTCAGAAAAATTCTGAATTACTGGCTAATCTGTCACAATCCCGCCTACTGGAATGATCGTTTAATCGTTTAGAAATCTTCAGTGTATCGCTGCAAGAAGCTAAGCCTGCCCAACTTGAAATAAATCTAAAATGAAGAGGTGCGCGTCCGCTTTGCAGCGGCTCTGTACAGTCTTTTCAACCCGGAGTAGGCGAAACATTCCAAGTGGAGCAGCGCGTACGCACCACGCGCTGCTCCACTTGGAAACACGTAAAACTTGCATTCATTCTGTTACAACCTAATATCTCGCTGGCTCAGCGTGATATTAGGTTGTAACAGAATTAATGCAGGTTTTCTAAATTTTGTGTTTGGATTATTATAACTTTTTACACAAATATTTCGTGTGCAACAAGAATTGTTGTAATCAGCAAACCTTTTTCAACTCAGTATGCATTATTATGTTGTTGTAGCTTCAATGAGAAAAGTTTTATAGCCCGAATTCTGCCAAGGATTTTTTTGGAAAACCTCCACTTTGGGAAATCATAACTTACTACCAAATGTAGTAAGGTAGCGCAAATATAACCCACTGCATAGCTTATGGTCGGTTGTGCAGCAGCGCTGAATTCGGAATTGAAAAAGAATTCTTTGCGAGAGGATATTCGAAAAAATTTTGAAAGTAAAGACTACTGCATGACGAAGGTGCAGAAGCTTTATTGATCGAGTGGGCGCGAAAGCGGCGCGCGCGTATCTCCACCGTTGTAAATTCTGCGTCTCATGCTCTCTGCGGCGAATAAAACCGCGTTCGCGCCGAAGGATATTGCGCCTTTTCGTCATGCAGCAGCCTGTACTCATTTTTTCAACTTTTCTATGAAGTTGAAAAATCGGTTTTCTGAAGCTTCTGAATTTTTTAGAGCTGAATAAGAAGAACGGCTCCCGATTTTTTCAGCCATAAATGTCTAAAATCTATTCTTCCTATTATAACGGAAGCTCCGCAGTCGTTAGGCCTAAGGCATACCTCGCGCGATTCCCGTCGCTGCGCGATTTGGCACAACAGCCTGTAATTCGTCGTTAATGCGTTTCCTTTGGTCAGAACTTAACCCAATTGCAAGAACTTACACAAGCTACCCGCCTATGCGTTCGAAAAGCGCCGACGATAAATATGAAGAAATCTGGCAAATCGCCAAGTTGCGTGAAAGCGGCGATTAGGCCAAATCGCGTGAAGTATGCCTTAGGCCTTACGCGCTGAGGATTTTTATATATGGGACAGACGGACCACAGCGACCGTTCTCGGCTCAGATGTTTTCAGAATTCATGATTTAACACGCATTTTGTAACATAGCTCACTCAAAAATACTATGTAAATTTGCAGCGAATTCCGATTGTTTCTGGTGGTTTTAGAGCCAGGTTTAAAAAAAAAAGAATTTCGAGATTTGGTTCCTTAAATTCATGGGCTCAGAACTTTTAGAAAAATTCACTTCTACTGAAACGAAAGAATGCATAAGAAATTAGAAGAAAGGGCTTTCAAATGGTACGTGAAACTCTTTGGGAAAACACTTTTCCTTTTTGAACCAGCATTTTGAAAAAGGGGCGCCAAAAACCTGCATTAATTCTGTTACAACCTAATAGATTAGTATGAAGAAACGCAGACTGCAAAGCGGCGCGAATCTTTGCGAAGCGGACTCCCGCCAGTCCAATTTTCGCCTAAACTGACCTGAAATCTACTGTAATCTTGATTTCTGATTGGCAAGATGCCAACGCGCTCGTTAGTGAGTACAACAATAGCGGCAGCGCAAAGCTAATCGAAAGCTTTAGCCTCCTCCGTTGAAATAACTGTAGACAGTTATCAAGCCTCTATAGCAGACATACACATCCAAATCGCGGCGGCTCCGGCTTTGAGCCGCTGAGAAAGCAAATGTGAAGCCTATCTTTTCTTTTCCATTTCTTTTCGTTCGCCCAAGGCAAGCGCATACGAACGCGATGGGCGAGACTCAAACGTGTTCTCCCATGAGCTCCCGCGTGCTCACTCGCCGCGTTCGCGCCCGCTTGGCTACCCATTCGGGACTAGCTTTTTAACAGATACATGAATTTTAGCAGATTTTAATCAATCAGTGTCACTGTTGTGTATGCAATACTCGCAGAGGATAACGGCTACCCTTTCCCGAAATCACAGTAGCACGGCACATGCGATCCGCTCCTGCACTACGCCTCGTTTGGATCTTGCGCTGCGTCTTCACACATAGCTCTGGACACTTTTCCACGCCCACTGGAATTCAGTCGCCATACAAGTTGGCAATTCTTATAGGAGCGTAGCAAACGGCTGCGAGGCGTTCGCAGGCGCGCAAAAACGAGCCGCAAGAAGCGGCGTTAATGTCATTGAAAAAGAAGAAATGAATGTGATACCAGCAACACCTGCTCGTAAAAAATAACTATCAAGGCACAGATTTATGACATTTTTTGCAAGCAAATGCTTTAGCAAGCGATGATCTATCAATTGTTAGATTTATTAGTCTACAGTATAGAAATGCCTCGCCGCCCATCGCGCGGGTAGAACGCTCATCCACAGGAAAGCGCGAGCAGAATGCTTAGGTATAGATAGGAAAATCGCAGATAACATGATTATGAACAAACCTTATATGGACCACTAATCCTAGTTAATGTTTGGTACTCCATCTTATTGTCGAGGTTCATCGTCAACCCGATTGGCGTGATTACAGGAATACCCTAAAAAATTTGAGAAGTAGTTTACTTCATGAAAATCTGTTTATGCAATGTATGTCAAGTGCTCCCTTTTCCGTAACAAAAACGCATCCGTAGCGCGTAAGTATTGCGCAGAAAGTTCCGATCGAAGCGGAAAATTTGGACGCTCAAAAGAGTGCGCCCGCGAACGCAGCACGTGGCGCTAACGTTGCACTCGAACTGATCGAAAGGGGAGCACATCATTGACACAGAGTTTACTTACATTACTGTCATCATCTTGCCAGTATGGACACATACGTGCCACTGGTGCTAAAGCGTACACGAAAGCATATCCAATAATACAATCCAAACGATTCTGAAAACGATGAAGAAAAAGAAAAATTTGAGAAAATAAAATTGAGTGGGTAAGTTTCTGAAATGAGCTTTACCTTACCTTAACTAACTGCTGAATGGCTACATTCGGCCCATGTGCGTCTGACAACCGACTATCACGGTAGGTAATTGCCATAGAATCGGGTGGCACATATCTGGAAATAGAAAAAGGAAGAATACGTATCAGTCAAGGTTGAACTTCAACTTACTGAAATTTCCTATAAGCATCGTCTAGTGCGAGATCAATAACCGGCCGAACCTAAAAGACACATTCTTTTCAGAGCTAAATGAAATACTAGAGAAATTCAATCTAAACTGAACATGGTCTAGAAACTAGCAAGAGAGAACAAAGAAGCAACCGTTGCCCTCAAAGATTATGCTCGCGCGCGGTTGCAAAGCGTGGCGTGGGCCAACGCGCCTGTTCTGATCTGCGGACGCGAATAGCACAAGTATAGCGTTCTCAGCGTTTTTGTACAAGTAGAGTAAATTTCTCACAGTCAGACAAGACAATTTGTTACTCCTACAACTTCTGAAGTAGAAAAATCAGAGGTCATGAGCTAGAAGCTGCGCGATTTGCGAAAAGTTGTTGACCGAGATCAAGCAATAGAGCTGCTCTGCGTCTCTGGCTGTCAGCACGCATGGCTAACATGTTGGCAACATGCAACATCGTGTAAATCGCAAGGCTGACAACCAGCACCTTGTTGCTAACACGTTGTTGCATGTTGTCAACATGTTGTTGCATGTTGCCAGCAGGTCAGAAATGAGGGTAGAGGGGCGGTGATTGTAGAGCGGGCAAGTTATTGGAGTGGTCAGCGTTAACAGTGTCGCAGTAATGGTGAGATTACGGTAGGTGCACGGTCGCAGGTGAAAGCCTCATAATCGGAATGGAAGGCCTCATGATGGAACTTTGCGCAGAAGGATCATGCCAATACCGCACAGACATAAGATTTTATATGGAAGTTGATATTGGTTTTCAGATAAGGAATAGAAAGTACTGTGATATCACCTTGAGAATAGTAAGTCCAAAAGGATTCTTGAGTTCTTCGGTATCATCTTCTAGCGGTAGTGGAACTATGATATGAACTGGATGGATCACCGACACCTGCAAAATCTTTTATTACATAACCCTACCAGTGGCATGAGCCCTACAAGATTGGGAAGCAACAGCACGATACGTTCGTTCTGTTCAAAATAGTGGTATGGATCGCCGCCATGAGTAAGTAAAAACAACAATATTCACCAATTTAGCAATCACTCAGATATAGTTATGCCAGAACGGTGAGACTATGATAGCACTAATACTGGAATTTGCCTATATGTCTTGCATCATGAATATGAAGAATTCGCTGAATAATATCTGAGAAGATGATCCAAGTTGCATTTCGTACCCATTTTATGAATGGTAAATGCCGTTCTTTACATATAATCACGAAATAAGAAAAACGAATAAAAAGAAACTAAAAGAACTTTTTAGACACATTTGACGGTGTGAATATTTTTTTTTGGTTAGAATTAGTAGGTAACAAAATCAAAGAGGCAGCTAACAAATAAAAATACAAAAATTACCTTTTCTGTATCTAGTATCATTGAGATATACTATATACTATTTTTTCATCATGCACTGCTAAAAGGCTGAAGATATACTGTTTTCGATAATTAGTATACCTTGATCTTGGAAACGGAGGAATTTATGATGTAAAATTTTGGTGCAAAACTTATGGGACTGATTTTATATACACGGAAAATTTCCCGTATCGGAGACTCTTAACTGACACCAATATTGCTGACTGCTAGCGAATGTGTACGTTCATTGTGTCTACTGATGGTAATGCTCAAACTGGCTATAGCCTGATGTCACAGTTTCGTGACAGAATATAATCACTATTTATTTCTTGACAACACAACGACTAGAAGTACAAGAATTACTCTCTGCAAAATATTCCTTTTATAAAACCGAGAATTTCTCATTTTTGAAGCAATCAAATGCTATGGGTGATCTTTGGAGAGCTACAGCAAACAAAATCAGCCAACCCTTTAGCTACAATACGTACTTTGAGTTTCTATTTTGCGCTGTCGATGGGCAATGTTCTGGCAAGCAAGCAACAAGAAGAATGGCTCAATCTATGTACATTGATGGTATCAGCTAACAAGGAGGTATAACAATTGATAATATTCCATTTATTGTCTACTCAGGCTGTAGCCTCAGTTACCCATAGGTAGGGTTCGGTTTGGTTCCGGTTGGCTAAACTGCGCGAGAAAACGTTTATAGTTGCAGAAGTCACCGATGGTTTTGCAAGATATACAAAACCATCGGTGACTTCTTCTTACAAGAATAAGGAGCGTCAAGGCCTAACAAAAAAGGTTACTTCATGGATTCCGTGAAAATTGGCAAGTAGTTGATTGAAAAAGAGACCGTTTGAGCATCTCTTTCAATCAAAACAAAGGTTGTGGGTTTTGGATGTGCACTCCACAACAAAGGAACCTGAACTAAAACTTTTCAATCATTGGGATGATAAGGTAAGAATGATGCAGGAGAGTTTGTTAGCAAAAACCTGATTTTGAAGTTTTGCACATTATTCAAAAGGCCATTACCGCCACTTTTAAGCACCGAAATTCTTTTTGCGCTAGTACGACTTGGGTGGAACACTGGTGCTTTGCTACAGAAAAAGCCAGAACTAGAACCAAACCAAATGCACTGCAATGAAATTTCGTTGACACTGAGCCCTAATCAGTAGTACTATCTTGGAGGATAAATCGTTTCAGTTCTCGTGGCCATTCAAACACTAATAAGGACATGTTAGGTATCTTTCGATAGAACAAAGCTAACATATTTCGTAACCAAACTCCACATTCACAGCGAACAGGTGGAGAGGTGAATGACGAAATTTTTGAATTGATCTAAACTGCTCAAGAAGTCCTACATCCTTTTTTCTTAAGACTAGTGATACAGAGATCGTCTACATACACTTAATATTCTTGTTGTGCTTCTCACTAAAAAATTGATGTGAAAGATCAAAACAGAAAAACTTGGTTTTTAAAAAAATCACAAAAATAGAACATTGCCGTGATTAGTGAGCAAAATGTCCGATTCATCTCTATGTATGGTTAAAAATCGAAAAAAAATGCTTGAAAGTCGAAAAAAGTGACGAAGAATGGAAAAATTGGAGGAAGAAACGTCACAATAAAATTATTTCAGTTACATAGCTAGTTTACAAAATTTGAGACATGTGGAAAGTTTACCGAGTAATTCTCGATGTTTTTTTTGGAAATGACAGAATTATGCTCCAATCTTATATTTTTTCTCCAGCATGGAAGCCGTATCACCGCAATATTCATATGAAAGTCTAGCAAGTATGCAAATATAAATGTTGAAATGGTAATATGAGTGATCGAAACATTGATACTAATAATATTAGGAGAGAATATTTAGGAAAAAAATACAGTAAAGACAGCTTACCGGCTTGTATGACACAACTTTCTCGATGGCCAGCAGTAGCAACAAATAACGTTGCATTTCATTTCCGTCTCATAGCAGGGCGTCTGAAAATGGAAGGTAGATTATCGACTTGTAGTAGAGTCTCCAGTCGAATAACGAGGTGGGACAGAGTGTGAAAAGTGCAAGACAAAGGGCGAAGCAATCAGTGAGAATCTGCAATTTCATCAAACGCTAGGACGAGATGCCTCGAAGATTCAGGGCTTTTTTCGGAAAAGGAAGAGATTGGGTACGAGTACGTCAGAATGATGCGAGTCCTCTATAGTTGATGACGTTGCAGTAGTGAGTCGATTTCGATGTTAAAAAAATTAAAATAGGAGATCTGACTATGTAAATCATTTCGTAGCTAGAAAAGTAGCTTTTCTTGTATATTTACGAGAGTTGTGCATGTGAAAAAATCACCCAATGTTTTCAAATTCTCAATAATATGTAAGTAGTCTTTCATGCTAATAGCTCGCAACAAGAAATCTTGTATTTATTTATTCGTTACTTGTCTTTCATTCATCTATCCACTTATTTTTTATTTCGAACGCCCTCAAGCTTGCTACACAAATTCACATAGAAGTCATTTTTGTACGAAGAGAGAAAGAGAGACATAGAAGCACAATGAAAAAAAATTTGATTTAGGCCTAGTTTGAAATCAGTCAAAATGGATGTTTGTTTATCTATCAGAGATCAATCTTGTGAACTATATGCACCTCACAAAAGAGATAACAAACTGAACGAATGTAAAGCAACGGAGTGAGAAAAGTAAGAACAGCTTTGATATTTTGAAAAATTAAAAGTTTGGACCATTTTCAACTTCCATATATTTCTTTGATGAGAAGTAAGGCCACACAAATTCTGGCGATCTTGCTATTCTATCAATAGTCCAATGATACCATAACTATATTAGGTTGTCCCGAAAGTTTTGTCCATTTTCATCGCTCACTAAAACTCACACAACACACATCCATGGGTGATTTAGGTGCCATTTAATTCAGAATTCTGTCCTCTTTCTTACAGCTATATTTTGCTCTCTGATCTACCCTGTATTTGCAATGTTATCGCCATGGCTTCTTGAGCAGCTCTGCAGTAACGTCAAATTTTTCCTTAATTTTAATTTTTTTATTTTGACGTTTTGAAGAGCGCTAGTTGTTTATGTAGTTCAAACCTTTGGCCACTTTCTATCCATTTTAGATTACATGGGTCATGTTTACCAAGTCCGCTATAATTATTTATTTACTAAAAACCGCAGCTTCTTGATTATAAATGTAGAAGTACCGAAAATTCCAAAAAGCTGGTTTTTCAAAGCAAATCAAACTTGGTTATGTTACATAAATAATGTTCAGTTAGAATCATGCTTTAAATCGCAGAAACTTCAAAAGCTTTCGTGCATCTGCTGCAGTTGCGTGTTTCATGACTTCGCCAAAAATCGAGACCTCCGAAATGATTTTTTGAAGCTAAAATCAGCAGACTAAGAGGACCTAAAAATATTGTCTTATAGTCCGAGAATTGCCCTATATGATCCATGCTTAACCTTCCCGAATCTTTATGATGGAATTTTCAAAAATTAGCCTGATTTTGAGCAGATAAAATTGGCGGGTGGAGAATTTTGGCAATTATCAAAAAAAAGCATACAAGATTGTGGTGCGAGAATGTATCCCTAAAAAAAGATGGAAAAGCTATATCGAATGCATGCTGAAACTCGATCAGATCTTTATTGTGCGTGGTTTTATAATGATTCAAAAAAAACGGACAAAACTTTCGGGACAACCTAATATTAACAGTTGAAAGGAAAATTTCAAAGCATTGGCAATTCCCCTTTCCGTAAATTCCCTACAATAAGAACAGACTTGAAATAAGGGGAGAATAGCGTTACCAATCTTTGCAAGTAATTGAAATAATAAACAAGGCAGTATTCTGAATCTTGCACGGGAATAAGGCTGACTATGTAATCGGTCTCACTTGAATGCATAATTGACTAGCATTGAATTGCCATAGAAAAATCAAACCAGAATCACTTTTTCTTACACATAAAAATCCAGTATGTAAGCCTTGCCTTGCCAGCAAAGACAATCGTTGCAAAACGAAAAATGCAAGTAAGCTCAAATCTTTTTGTTCATGCCTAGTGCAACAAAGAATCTGACAGAGAAGATTGATGATTGTGTCAACGAAACCCACACCGTTTTCACAATTCAGCAAAAAACTTAAAAGTTATAGAATTTCAAAACCAGAGTTTGAGCTTGATAGAAATTCTTTTTCGAAACATTTTCGACCTTTTCGTTGGGGATTTAAGCTATCACACTGGAGCTTGCGAGGCATTCTTAAGCCTTCTTTGGAGGAAAATGGAATTTGAGAGACTCGCAAGACAGACAGCTCCAGTTTCAAGATTTTCCTCTAGGAACAAAAATTTTGTCGCTACAGGAATGATCATGTGATTTTAACATTTTCCATGAAACAAAAATCTTTGCGAAAGGTTCATCATTTGACATTAAAATTTAAGAAGTATTTTATAACTTTTTGAATAAAAGGAAAGAAAGAGTTCTTGTGATGTTACAAGATATTCTGAACGAAAATGTGGATATAAGGGAAGGAGAAGTGATGCTATTTTGCGTTTTTAAGATTTTCAACAGCTGTTAGTGCGGTTTGGCTTGGAAAATTTTTCAAAAAATTTCATTGTTGTTTTAGCGTTGCCTGTTTCACACTTTAATAAAAGTTTCCAAACTTTGAAAAGGCAAAATTGCCCATCTAGTCACACATCGGGTAAAAATTTTTTGATTATGAAAACCATAAAAATGATACTGGAAAATATCTTGATGTTATAACAACATCTTATGGCTGTGAGAAGACAATGAAATCAATTGTTATAATTGTAAACGAAGGAAAATTCACAGAAGATGGTAGAAGAACAATTTCGGCTTGCTAAGACTCACAAACTGGTCCATAAAATTATTCATTGTTCCCATTTCCTGGCTCCACATTTCCATGCCATACAAAGAATTCAGAAAAATGACTATGGGCTTGAGAACAAAGCCAAGCAGCTTTGGGAAAAGCTCATTCCTGAGCACACATAAATCTCAGCTGCTCTCAGAAGGGCATTCGGATGAGTAAACAGCCTCATTTCATTTCTGCGAACGATATTGAGAACGGATCTGTAAGAGAACCAGGATGAATGCTTTTACTGCTATTGAAATGCAATGCATAAAAATTTTTCCTGGGCGCTCTGCAGCAAAAAAACATTTCAAATCTTCAATATCTAGGCAGGAAATGTTTTTTGAAATGTCACTGCACCAAAAGTTCATTTTCGTTTTCAAAACTTAAGTAAGGTGTGTTATAGACTTAATACACATTCAAATAACGAGTGTTAGCCATCCAAGCGATAAATCATGCAATTCTTTGAAGATAATAGTATTTACGCAAATTTTCATCTCAGTGCGATTACATAATAAATCACACGTGACAAGTTCAAAAAATTTATGCATTGAAAAGTTCATCTGAACCAGCGTTTACTACGTGAATGATTTTTGATACGAAAGCAGTGAAAACGAATTGATATTCAAGTGCAAGATGCAGAATTTTTCATACAGAATACAGCAGTTGTAGAAAATTCAAATTTTTGCATACGTGGAGAAAGATGCTGATTCTCTGAAAAAGTATTTTCTGGGATGAGATTCTGCCATCCATTCACTGAGTAGTTTAATCTCTTCTCTTACAGGCAAAACACAGTTTGAGTATGAAAATCAAATGCTTGCCTTAACTTTTGGAAATAGGGGAGCTTATCCATTTCTGTTTAGGAAAGTAACGGAAGTTGAAATCCATAAAATTGGTAACGGAATTAATAGGAAAGAATCCAAAATTTTGATTTGAAAACAGGAATACCTTGATTTTTAGGTAAAGAGTGTTCAAAAATTGATGAAACTACAAAAAATTGCAATCCTTAGACATCAGATCAAAGATGCTTTGACTTCAACTCTAAATGATAAACGTGAAAAGTAAGCTCGACTACAAATTTAAATTGAGATTCTGGAAGTAACAAAAAAGACAAAACCACTGAAAGTGTTTTGAAGACCAGAAGCATTCTAATCTATGTATTTATGCCTCTTGCGGCATGTACCAATGATTTCATCAAAAATTATTGAAAAAAAGCAGAGAATCACAGCTTCTCTCAGATACTTTAGGTGCCGAAACTCGGATAGAATACAACCGATTGTTTCTCTCTATCGGCTTGTATCTTCGTAAAATGACAAATAATTTTTGCCTAGAGCACGCTTAAAAAGAATATTTAGCGCTCTCTACAGTATACCGCGTCAAATTCATTTGAACATGGAAAATTACAAATTTCAGAGAAGTTTGATGAAGACTTTTCGGCAACGTAGTAAACCTTGCAAAGAGAATGCAAAAAAAGGGGTTTTGGAAGGTTTACCATCGGCAGAACATGGCCATTTTCCCATCGAAATAGAGTGCCCACGGCCGCAAGTTGCAGTGCAAAAGCACTTCATTTAGTTGCGCTTGAAAGTGTGCATGACGTAACGCGGAAATAAAGAGAAGAGAAAGTTTCAGTGGTTTTTTGTGATAGAGATTTTCGGGGATTTGGAAGGGACGCAAATTTCCAGTCAATAATTATAGGAATCATTTAGCACCTATTTGTTGAAACAACTGATTAACCAAAATTCAGAGTGCAAAATAACCGATTCATTTCTCTTTCTGTGGGATTCAGCAAACCAGAACAATGCGCCATCAAAGGAGCGGAATCCTTCAAGCAAAATAAACACAGACTGCTTTATTCACTAAAAATCCATTAACGAAACACTAGTAGAATAGCACACATTGATACAAAAACTAACAACAAAGAACAAAATGTCCCAACGAAATCTTTGAGACCATGTTCAAAGAACAAGATTTGCAGTGCTCGAAACTGGTTTTGTTGCAGCGAAGAAAAAGTTGAATACACAAAGGACTATATGAAAAACGAGGAAGTAGAAAAGATTGAGGACGCTTCCACTTTTGGAATGAACTGCGCCTCCTACGCTTCCTTTGCTAAATTCGGCAATGAAAGAGAAGAGTG